GTAATGAGGAAAACAACTCATCTGATATTGATTCTTTCTTCTGAACTGTATGAGACTGACACATTTTTCGCATTGCCGGTGAAAGTTTTGGAAATAATTCATCATATGTTTTTGGCTGACTGGACTCTAGAGGTAACATATCATTTAGTGGTAGTTGTTTTTTTTTTCAGGTGTATAATACCACGCATTTTCTACTTTATCATAACCATCTTCCTCATTATCTGAATCTGGAGGCGTATATTTGGGCTGTGTAGATGGAAGTTGAGGATAGTAACATTGAGTAAAATTGGATTTAGCTACAGGATTTAACCTTGGGCAATTGTTTTTCTTATGCCCTTCCTGTCCGCAATTACTGCAATAAAAAGGCTTTCGAGATTGATCATTAAGTGATATCCTACCAAACTTAGATGTCATTTGACCAATTTCATCTATTTTTGACTCTAATCTATCGATTCTAGATGATTGCAACTTTTCTGGCTTTTGCGGTTTAGGAGGTGGCCCATAAGCTTTTGCGACTACTCTCATTATTTCTTTCCTAGTAAGTGTATCAGGGAAAGGATTAGCGCTTTCATATGTATCAAGAAGCTGTTCCATATTTTTAGGAGGAACTGGTGGAGGTATCTTTTTAGTTTGCTGGACCATTTGTGATTGGAAATCGGCTTTTTGTTTTTCTAATAAAGACTGGTATTCAGTTTTTTGCTGTGCTAATGCATTCTGGATTGCTTTTTGCATATCTTCGAAAGATATTCCATGCTGTTGTGAGGCTAAAATAGGTGAAGGTTCATATATTTGCTGAGATGTTCGATTAGATACTAGCAGATCAGATGTTCTATCTCTTTTATGTCTAACTATTTAGCGTAATTCTATCTCATAAAGCTTTTTAGCTAATTCATCTAATGGCAAATGTTCACCAATATCTTCAGCTTTTTCAAGCCATAAAAGTGGTAAAGCATCTAAGAACTTTCTACGTAATTCTTCAGGTCTATAGTTGGCTCGTCTACCTATTCGTAATATTTTTCTATATAATTCATCTATAGTCATGTCTCCCTTTCTGATTGTTCCATACATCAAATCCTGAAGTTCCTCTTCTACTGTAGGGAAATGAGTTTTTAGCCACCATACGGCTTGACAAAATCGAATACCAGCTACAACTACTGTATTTCCAGTATTAGCATTTGGTGCATTTACAGGATCATTAGTAGGACAGCCACCTGCTATACGCCAGTATTCATTCCAAGCATCTTCTACAGCTTTTAACTTGACTATTGCATTTCCTGGTTAGCCAACAGCCTCATTTAATGCATTAGCTCCTATCTGTACTGCAGTTCGCCCATTTACTGCAACTAAGTTAGCCTGCCCTATATTATCGAGTAAGTTAGTTAGCTCCCAATTCTGCTTT